AATAAAGCTAATCAAATAATTAACAAGCGTACAGTTTACTTCATTACATAGTTCGAAAGTAACTCAGGTCCGCTAACACAATTTTCAACTTGTATAAATGAGAAAACAAGTAATCAAACTCACATCAAACTGAGAAAATGCTCAATTGCTAATACAAATAAAAATATATATTACATAAAGGTACATCTGTCTACCATTTCTACAATATTTTAAATATATTGAAACAGAAAGGCGAAACTTTAATATTTAAAACTGTACGCACAGTGTAAAAGTTAAGTAATCATTTAATTTCGTAACTGCTTGGTGTCTTGACTTATAATGTTAAAAAACATAGTTTGTGTCCTGCTCACGTTGGTAACATGCCCATAGATTTTATTGAACTTTCATTTTAAACTTTATTACTCAATGTTATTAAAATACGCTTGCATATATATCAACTAAGATACTACTAATATCTACTAAGATTTGCGGCATTATATTTAAGTTATACGGGTACAGTTACATAGTTGACAAAAACACATATTTTTACAATATTAGGTACCTAGTTAGTACAAAAATTAGTTCTTTGGATGTCTTGAGTTGTCTGTTTGGAAGTATACCTACAGAATGATGCTGTCTAACCGTTGATTTTGTAAATTGATGAAAAGGCGAATAAGTAAAATAATGTAATGATAATTATAAAGGATATACGTAGGTGATACAAATCCGCAATTATCGATTTTCATAACGAAGCAACTTTACTTTATCGGCGGTTTGATGTTCTAATTATGGCTAATGGTTTTTGGTTACCCGACCAGGCGAACTACGTACGTAGAATAAATTGAGGCCGTCTTCCTCACGGGGTGTTTGATCACAAAAACTTGGTTTTCCAAATGGTATTTTTTTATGTATAAAGGGAACTTAAATATCAGTTTTCGCGTTTCTCTAGCTCATAAAGACGCGGTTAGTTTCGCTTGTCATTGACCCGACGAAAAGCGGTGCGGGCGGGTGATTAGTCGTGGCTGCAGCGTTGACACGGTTTACAGTAATCGCTCATCCGGTGTAACCTTGTCAGTCCAGAGCCCACTCTGCTGGTACGCTACGATTTGGTTGCATACAAAAATGTATATGGTCGGGACGAGTTCTTCGAGTAAAACAATGTATTGAAAGTCTGAAACAGGCATGTTATACCATGTGCTTCGCTTGTCATTCTGTGGATCCTTGACCGGGTACTTGTTCGTGTCACGTTGCCGACTTCGGCTTTCGATTTCGTAACCGAGCCCGCAGTGTACACCGACCAACCGATCGATTATGGTCATTGTGCCAAAGGCGTTCCACTCTCGCTACGATTTTGCGTGCTCCGTTAGCTCCCTCACTATTGTCGTTTTTGCGGATTTTCTAACCAAATACTGATTTTCTAAAATAAGTCAAGTCACACGGTAAAATAAATATGTCCCAGTGAAACAAAAAGTATTTTCTGAATATAAGACATCGTTGTGTGAATATTGTTGCTAACTTGAACGTTGACCACGGTGGAAATTAATCTTTGCATTCAACACTATTCCTTCGAATTTCTAATACGTTTGTATTTTCTAGATATGGTTCCGCCTCGCAGTAAAGGTACCTGTAACTAAAAGGGCACTGCTAAACATAACTTGAAAGTGCAGGAAATACGTAAGAACCATGTGTAACAAAACCGGCCTTAAAGATAAACTCACTTTCTCACCAGATTTTCTACAAATATTGACAAATATAGTTATAACAAGTCAGCTGGTCGGCGTGGAACCGAAAGTACACATTGTGAGGATATAAACACATAACACGACTCGCGAATTACGACCAAGTTCGCTTTCACCTTTAACAACCACCTCGGATTGTAATTAAAGAGTCCTCGACTACCGGTGTCCAACTAAGAGGAAAGAAAGCCTAATATGGAATTCCACCAATTAAAATTAATGTTAGCAGACGATATTTAATGAGAGAAAAATATTATACTACTAATTAATGAAATAAGTTTGGTGTCAAGACAGTGACGTGTACTGGTAACACAGGTTTTAGAGTTTTATGAAATAGCCGGTTTCCGAGTAGGTTACACATGTGAATGCGTACATTGAGGCTTCGAATCTATAAAGTTAAATCGTTGTCCGGCGAAAGTGAATGTTCCGGTGTTTGTTATTCGCGACGGAGTCCGTGTCGTGTGACGTGAGGCGCTTTGTTGAACATTGATACCACCATTGAGTGCCTTCTTTAAATAAAAGTGACACACGTTGTGCAATCATTCGATATTCACGACGTTAACGATCACAGCTTTAGCAAATTGAGATAGCCAATATATTGTGATAGTTATTTGAAACTATTTAATAGTATTACACCATACGAAGTTACGTAAAATTGGTAAAGTTATAAACAAAATAAAAGAAATAATATTCAAACTTATTATTTCGGACCAAAATACGAAGCCGTACATTTAATAACCATACTGATACAGCTGTCATTGACATTCGGCAATCCGAGCGTTTGACGGCAAAAATATTGACCTTGTTCGTATCCATGTTAAGAATGGAATTTATTTATGAAATGTTCAATCACAAATCTTAAAAAATCTTACAAATAATTTAAAAGCTTTATGACGGACTTAAGAAAATATCACTATCATAATGGACTGTGATAACAACCGATCTCAACTGTTCAAATATGTTCGTTCTTCAAATAAACTATTGAATTAAATACAAATTACACAGCACCTAACCTAGCTCAATTGTGCCATACTAAATCACTTTCGAAATCTGCTTGTACGAAAATAATCTGGGTCAACGAAAATGAAACAAAAAATTAGTAGGTACACAACGATGTCCCGGTTTAAAGAAGCAGTGAAGTTAAATGTACAGTGGGCCGAACTCATTATAGTTAAATAAAACTAGAACTATGTTTAGAATTTCTATTGCCACCATCTGCAAAGTATGCAGAAAGTTGTTAGAATCAGATAATCAAGATGCCTTTGCTACTTGTTTGTTTATCAACCTTATATAATTTATCAGTAGATAAATGGTAGACAGAAACAAAAAATTAACCATAATGAAATTTAAAATAAAGGTCCAACACTTTTGACATTACTTACATTATCTATCTTCTGTTTTAACTTATGTGAACCACCAACTACTAATTTATAGGTACCAATTATATGAAAAACAACAAATTAAATTGACAGCGGTGGTTAACATATGGTCTTAACACAAGATTGCGAAGGCTCGCAGCCTAGAAACAATAAAGTGTTCAAGTTCAACTTGTCGTATGGCGCTAAACAATGTGACATTAAGCTCTAGATATGAACGGTGCCCACGCAGTCCACATCGTCTGCGCCCGCGCTCTTGCTTAAACGACACTCGACACAAGCATAAAGAAATTGAATTTTAGATGATTTCGTGTATCTGATCCATATTGATTGCTTTTCGCAAATTTTACTTATTCATATAGGTGTAATTGCAGTTTGTTGCCACCACTCAACCGACTTTTGTGTTTAATTTAAAGTTGTATTTCTAGAGAGATTACAGGTTAATTACGTTACAACAAGTGAAAAACAAATTAAATCACCCCAAAATGGACATTTTCATGCATTCAGAGCACTTAATTTTCAGTACATACTTTTTGTTTCACCGCGTCCTCTAGATTATATGCATAACTGTAATGAGATTGTCCAGAATTGTAATTAAACGTAACTTCTTACATGAACAAGCGCGACACAAATATTTAACTTTCGCGAGTAGTAACTCTACTACTCGCCGCTAGATGTCTATTAGTGATCTCATCTTTAAAATATAACTTGTAACTTTACGATGTTCAGTCTAGTAACAGTAATCTATTTTCTGCATTATCTTCTGCGTATACATATTTATCTCCACTGCGACTAGGTAAACCAATTACGTACATTTAATTCTATTAGTTGTGCTAGCGTTCGTCGTTCAGTATTCTTATGTTATTTTTAGTTTGGTCTTACTGCTGTTAAGTTTATTTTACCTAGTACAGTATTCATTTACATTTTGTGTTTTATTCTCTATAATGGTCCTTTCGAAAATGGGCGAAAAGAGCGCTAGTTTTACCTTCATTGAAAATAATTTCATAAATAGCCCACAAAGCTTGCGTGTTTGCTGGTAAGTCATAGATAGTTCAAACATATTTAAGTTCGCGAAATTATCTTTCGTAATGTATTGCCATGAATTTATTATAAATTGTGTCGAAGTATACAAACGTCAATCGAGCGCTGATTTCTCATAGACGATGCGATGACATTGTGCCAATGACGTGAGTTTTGATTGTTCGCTTGTTAGGTTGTGACGGCGGGAGGCGGTGTTTTGAAATGAACACTTGATTGTACGCCGCTTTACTTGAGCCGGTATCTTGTTCACGGGCGAGCTGTCAAAGCTGGCAGTGTGTCGGCGACCGCAGCTCGCGCCGGGTCCTCGCGAGCTTACCACTCACGATTGTCACCAAACAGCTGCTCAGACATTCAAACAAACTTTACTACCTACCTAGATCCCCGATTAATATGTGATCGCTTATAGTTACGTTCGAATCAAAAGTGATTAATGTTACAGTGACCTTGACTGTGAAGGCTTAACCGCAGATATTAGGATTTTGTGTTAACGTAATTGTAGGGTGCGGTAATCACAGTATTTATTTTAGATAATTTTCTGTTGGTATTTTATTGAATACGTAATAAGTAAACTACCTATTCACATGTTACCAAACAAATTTAGAGATAGGGCACCGTCAAAGAGTTAGGTACGGGTCAGAGGCGGTGGGCCGCCTTGCGGGCGTTCCTGAGCGCTTGCTGCCTACCGCCACCCGACCATTTCTCACAGCTGATAGATCCACATTCAGCCCATGGAAAACGCTCACCAACGTTAGTAAATCTTCGGCAAAACCTGGCTTTTACACGGACCTTACCTAAACGTTCGTTGCATACATTGCACTGTCATGTCCTACTCACTAACCCTACAGTCCATCGATCGATGATTTCACAGCTCGGAGCACTCGTGGAGGCGGAGAAATGAACGTTCTAAACGGTCACACCACCGGCGTTCGCCAACATCACACAGACGGAGGAGGCACCATCGCGACGAGTCTTCGCCACGTTCCCCCCCTGAACAGGTGAGTCCAACTGTTTCTTTCCTTATATTTATGAGGATGTGCGAAAGGAAAGTGCGACTCGTAAAATCCAATCCTCGCCGATACCTCACACTAATGTCCACCCGTAAACCTGTCTATCCTTTACTTCTAAGACACAATACGCATTGCACCTCGTAAGCAAAGTGCGGAACCAGAATAAAGCGTAAAACGTCAGCGTGCCTGTTTGGGATTACACGCGGGACGGGTTTGGCTTGCGAGTGCGCGTGCGCCTTCGCCCGTGAAGATGTGCGCGAGAGACGGCGACCTCCTCGCGCTTGCGCCCGTTCTATTTGTGTTCGCCTTCGTCACTCGGAACGCCTTCAGTCAGTCGCAAAGCTGAGCCGGCCGCCCGGCGCGTCTCTGCCGCACCGAAATTCTAGTCACCGCGTCGGGCCGCGGGCGGCCTGCCTCGAAGTCATGGCTGCCCAGCCACCGCGCCCTCCTCCTAACAACCTCCTGTTCTGCACTCCTCCACCTGCCCTTCCGCACGTGTTACTACTGCCCAGTGATACTGCATGCAGCAACGGCGATCTTCAACTTGCATCCAGTATTACCAGCCAAACAAACGAAGCCGATGCTTTACACGAAATAAACAACGTGGGTGTGCCCACTTGTGAAGATTTTTACGATGATCAAGTAGAACTTATCGGAAAAGATCAAAACTTAGAATACGAGTTGCCACCTGAAAGCTATTTGCGAAGGACACATAGTTTTGACGTTTCTGAAATTTACGCTGCAAATATCGTTCACGAAATAGACTCCCGCGCATTCCGACATAGACGATCTGAACCTGATTTATCCAAGTATGGATTGTTTGCCGAAGTAACCATGGAATGTACACCAATTCAACCACCTCCCCTAGTGCTCAACAATCCTTTCTATGACGGTTCGTATGCACTGGATTCAAATCAGTTCAATCCAGCTATGGTGATGCTACCTGATAATTATTTAGCTTTTGAAGATTCATTCGTTCCTACTTGGGATTACAAACCCGAGTATCTAATAGATAGAGAATTGAATCCGGAGTTGTACTATGATGGCATACCTTTGATTCCATCAAACGATCCTTGGTCCGTTTATTGCAATGAAAATGCTGCTTTTGAATTTTATGCTCCTAACTATGAAGCACCTTTGACTGGGGAGGGCGTTCATTATACACCCTTAACTGATTTAGACTATGCTATACCACAATATATGAGTTTACCTGTAGTAGAAGAGGCAAAATTACAAAACATAGAGAGCAACATTTGCAGACCAGAAGACTCTGAGCACTCACGTGCTAATGAACAAAGTGACAAAAATAACAACGATGAAGCAAACACACACAATTCTGATATTCCAGTGTCAAATGTCATAGTGAGCAATGTAATTAGTGAAGAACAAATTAGTGCCATTGATTCTTCTGCTAATAGAGAATCAACACACAGTGAGGAATCATTGAATGCAGACATTTCAAACGACGTCACGTCTAGTTTAGCTTTTGTTCCTAGTAGTAAAAGTTCACAAAGACCTGATGATACTGATGACACCAGTGATGATACATCACCGTGTTCAACAGATTATCATGAAGCATCTGCACTTGATTTAGTACAAAGTCTCGAAGAGCTTTCTTGTGATAGTAATGATTTTTCCCAAAGTAGAGAAGAAATTTCACCGACGCTTCCAGAATTGCCCAAATTAAGTAACGCTGTGGCTACCGTAGAACATCAAAATGTAACTAATGCTGCAGTTATAACTACTACTACTGCTGCTACTTCGAATTTATCTCTAAGTCAATTGCCTTCCATTCCATTTCACGAACAACCTCCAATACAAATACCTCCAGTAGCTAATAAAGACTCGGAAAATGAGCCCAAAAAAGCCACAGTTAATGTAGAAAAAAACTTGCACAATCTTGAATCTAATAAGAAAGTAGCACTGGTCCATGAACCTCAAACAATTATACCAATAGAGACATCACAGTGTGAAACATCGAGTCAACAATTACCAGAACCGTGTGTCCGTGACCATAATACTAATGACCATGCACTGAAAATAAAACAGCAACCTCCTGTTGTTCCACCCGCGGTGCCCACGTCGTGGTTGGCGCCAAGACCGCAAGTTAGTGGTACTCAAACAAATGTGGTGCATCCGCCTCAGATCCGTATCCAGAACGCAGAAGGCGCTGTAACAGATTTGCAGAAGAATCCCAAAGTTGCCTCCCAGCCGCCCGTGAAATCACAGCAACCAGCAGTGGAGCCGCAGCCTTCGTGCTCCTTCGTAGCACAACAACCCATTCAAAGTTCACAGCTCAAACCGGAGAAACAGTCCAAAGAAGTAGAGGTCAGCCAACATATCTTATACTTTAACAAATCTCAATTATTATTTTCTTGATGTTAAATTAAAACATGTTATATGAAAAGTAACTGCGCCACGCGCTGCCAGCGCTCGTGTATTGAGAGCAATGTGCATCTATTTTAGCATATATTATTAGGTCAAGGATTTAATTTATCACTATCCTCGGAACGCTGTTAAATATGTTTAAAAACCGAACCAAAGGACTTCCTCTTTTAGCCTTAATGACGTTTGTTCTGTATTTAACCACTGCTTTTGCTGTAAAGTGTGTACGCAATTCACATTTACATTTCTTTCAATATCAGTTTTTAATCTTCGCCATTTTTGCATGGATATAAATTGTTTTAGGTTCAAAAATAAACCATAATCAAAGTAATTTCATTTAAGAATGTGTGTATTCTTCTTAACTTAAATAGAATAAAACTATAATGATTTTATGTACCAATGTGTAATAAACAACGTTGTATGATGTTCTAAAATAGTATCAGCAGCTGGCACGATCTATGAGATTCCAAAAGCGATCGATAGATGGCGTTGCGAGTTGTTGTTCTCACACAGAAAACATAGACGACGCATGCGCACAGAAATAGTCACTCGATGATCACCTTCACCTAGGAGAGAGCCGTCATGCATCTAAATCTACAATGATAACACTCGATTTATAGGATTTAGTTCTTATTTGATTATAAAGAATAAGAAGTGTGAATAAACAGGAATTCTTTTATTAAAGTCAAAACATGCTTTGTTCCGTCTTAAGCAAGATTTGCAAGTGTCAATAAAATATTTCCTTTCTTCGCAAACGCGTTTAAAAAATCTATTAATATTGAACAAAATAACGTTGATTTCGATTCCCCATAAATAAAACCTTGTTTTGTTAAGCAACCTAAAACCACGTGTAGTTATAAGTATTCATAATATTATTTAAAGAAAAAAAACATTGAGATACATGACAATAAAGAGTTTGTAGAAATCGTTGCCGACTCACACTTGATACGTTTGCCTAATGAATGCTCATCAAGAGGCGCGCTCGTCAATTGTATTGAATTGAGAAACCAAAACTAAATTGTAGCTTGTTGTATCCGGATCGATGCAGATGACACCGTTGTAGTGGAAAATGTAGAAATAAGCCAAAGACATGTTTGCTTAAATACCAAAACTATTGTGGTGCTATGTTTTATTTAACAGGGAAAAATACTGGCTATTGTTATACTGAGATTATAATTATCAAGTACTATTTTATAGGAAATCTATAGTTTATATAAAGAAAATAATATATTTCCTACATACGCATTATCTAGAAAATAAAGATATAACATTGAAAGGTTTTACCCTTCTGCTTGTTTACGCAAATTTGATAAGAATGCAATAATATTTTCTCATAACATATTACATAATGAACTTCCATCTCGAAGAAATAAATCAAATAATAATAATATAAATAGAAATTGTTTCACTACCTACAAGCTGTTTAATTATATGTTTATAGTAGACATGAGGTTTTTACAGAATTCATAAGTATCTGGTAATTACGATAACTATTATCCCATACATTAAAATACATTTAATCAGTAAGTACGTTATTTAGAAAGATCGTTAATTAGATTTTAATAGTTACACTAAGTAAGTAGTTAATGCTTAGTGGTTGTTAGGGGTCAAGTTCATAAGTTAAGGTAGTGAGGGAATATGCTATCGCGTATCATTAATACAATAGGCCGTGGCGTGTTGGCCGCAACGGGCAAGATATGGTCTGATAAATGAGGTATGCCAGTTGTTTTGCACACCTATCTATTTTGTAATGCCCGATTCCTTCCGGTCGACCTTGCCTATATCGTTCAGGTTGTACTACTACACGTTAAGTGCACGGATTTGCTTCGCCAAATACCAGTTACGATTACTAGCACCTATCCGTCAATTGATTCGACTAACCTCTGTCGTATTGCCAATACTCCTTTGAAACCATTTTCGAAATTGCTTTTTGTTTTTTAATTCATTTGTTAATTTTATTGTTTTAATTTGCTGAGAATAGCTCGCATTTCTATTCTGGCTATAAATAATTGTAAACATAACTACGTGATTAATTAAAATAGTTCCAAATCATAAAAATACCTTTTTGCTGACGTTTTGGATTGTGAATGTCAATATAAAAAAACCTAAAGGTATTAATTAAAATGTACCTTATGTCATATCGTATATTTTCATTATTTGATTGATTTTATCAGTCAGGTCGTTTAGCAAATGCGTCAACCCTACTACGGTCATAGTATGTAGTGATTTGTTATTCATAGTATATTTTTTATCAAAATAATCATCTTTAAAGATAAGGGGCATTGTCCTACAATAGCACAATTAAGTTCAAAACAATTAGAAATAACAAAGTACTTATTTCGTTTGTTTGTTTTGCACGAGTGAAACTATACTTACCAGTGTATTGTTTATTAGTACATACCAAAAATTCCCTTCGTCGTCGTCGGATCTACAACAATGTTAACGAGTGGGACGCGGATCAATCCTGTTTAAACCGATATGAAAAAGCTTGAAATTGTTTGCTCCATTTGTGCATGCCATCTTTAATTAAGCGCCATGGAATAGTGCTTCTCTCGCAGTCAAGCCGCAGTCGCTGAATGGAGTACACATTTGTGTTACATTGT